AAATTATTTATTTTCAACTTTTAATGGGTTAGAAATGAAGTTATTTCTCTAAAAGCTGTCCAATGACCTTAAAAATAGTTTTTAAAAGCATAAGAAAAGACACATATATGCCAATCAGCTGCATTATCAACCAAAGGAAATTAAACAGGGAAACTCTCAGAAAAAGCTACAGATCTACGTCACACTGTAATTTTAGCATTCATGGACTCACCCATCGTGGCTCACAGGGAAGGCCGTTGTTGGTTTAACATCCATGAGAGAGCAAAGCACTTCTAGGCAAGGGGTGGGCAATGTAAACGATATAAGGTAAAAACGATATAAAATTGGGTAATCAATCAATCAATCAATCAATCAATCAATCAAAGCTTTATTTATAAAGCGCCTTCCGCAACCCTGTCAGGAAGCCCAAAGCGCTGAACATGGTACAGTTGTAAGTAATTATACTGAATAAATCAACAATAAAAGAAATTCAAATTACAAAATACAAATTACAAAATACAAAATGGAAATAACAAGATAGATGAAACATTCCGGTAAAATACAAATGTGTGAAACACAATTGGATTGAGTGGATGGATTGAGTGTACCAATGAAAACTGTGGAATGGATTCAACATAATAGAGGGCCATAATCAAATATGTTCTGGAAACGCCAAGCGGAGGAGGTGTGTTTTTAGGTGATTCTTAAAGACTGGCAGAGAAGGGGACAGCCTAACTGAGGGTGGCAACTGGTTCCAGAGTAACGGTGCTAGGACTGAGAAAGCCCGGTCCCCGCGGGTACGACACCTAGACCGAGGGACAGCGAGCAGGCCTTGGTCAGAGGAGCGCGTGATGGGGAATGTCTGTTCAGGAGTGTGGCCAGATAGGGGGGAGCACCACCCTGGAAGAAATGATAAACAAAGATGAGTATTTTGAATTGTGAGCGATAGGAAATCGGAAGCCAGTGCAGGGAGGCCAGAACTGGACTGATGTGGTCCCGTTTCCTGGTCCCAGTCAGGAACCTGGCAGCGCTGTTCTGCACAACCTGTAGGCGACGCAGTGTTGACTGACACAACCCTGCGTAGAGAGAGCTGCAGTAGTCAAGCCGAGAAATTACAAATGAAAGTTTTGGCTCTATAATGAAAATTGATGTAATGAAAGTTTTTGGCTCTGTCGCGATATTGTGGTAACACATGACATCACTAAAATGTGCGTACACCCACGCCATCATTGGGACAACAGAATGGCAGTGACTGCAAGCATGGAGAGGGCGGAGGAGGAGGAGCATTCTACACTTTTTGGACATCTTTATTTTCTGCAATATATTTGCCATATGAAGATTTTTAAAAGCATGTCATTTTGACATATATAAACAGAGGGGGAAATATATTGCAATAAAAATTGTTAACGCACGTGCTTCAGATTATATCGCAATGTAGATTTGACGCTATATCGCCCAGCCCTAATCTATGCTAGTGGATTCTAACTAGTGATGTGACGTTCACGAACGAATCAGTCTTGTCCCTGTAGAGAGCCGTTCATTTTAACAAACCTCCCCGGAAGTCGGTCAAACTCACCCGCTCAAACCCCACCCACCGCTGTGACAGACGTAGGAGGAACCATAGAAACACATGTTTATATACATATATCTTGGGAGGAACGCTAACCAACCTCGTGCGCCCTCACGTCACCGTAGGAAGACGTTGCGCTTGATCCCCACCCCCGCTCTATTGGCTTCACTTCATTCAAAGGAGCCAGTCTTTTGAACAGCTCTTTGAGGTAAACGACCGACTAATGAACGGCTCCCATGAAAGAGCCATAAATCCCATCACTAATGCTAACCATTAACATTAGCAACTCCACTACATGGCAGAATTCCCGCAGGGTTGTGTTATTTGAGGAAATTAAACATTGCAGAGAGGGCGGAGGCGGTGGAAGAGATACGTTGCTGTTAGCCAATCAGGGGTGAGATGTCCAAATCATGACTATTAATGAGTAAGACCCCAAATGCTGCCGTTTTCTGCTCCCAATTCCTCCGGCTAACTTCCTAAAACTACAACACCACAGCATTTATTTCCACATTTATTTCCCCAATGACTCACTAAGTATGCATTCATTGTAGAGACTACAGCAGATTTATACAGACGAGCCATAATATAACTACAACAAGCTTCCATTTAACGCCTGTACATCTACTGTCCAGACTCATCTGTAGATTTGTTAGATGGCCTATATCGCACCTTCTATAGTCCTGCGATCATAACCCAAACCCTGCGATCACCATACAATTAAAGTCATTCACCCATTCACACTGGTGGCAATGAACTAGAATGTAGCCACAGCTGCTCTGGGACGCTCTGACTGAAGCAAGTCTGCTTCCCAATTAGCACCACCTCCGACCACCAAGAACTTGTCTTGCCCAAGGACATGACAACTGTGACAGACTGAGCGGGAAGCGAACCTGCAACCTAAACCTTTAACTCTCTGATTACAGGGTGGGCACATAACTCTGCCCTTGTCACCCCTTTTCTGCACGTTTGCGTTATCCCATGTGAACAAATAAACATGTTTATAATGGGTGGCACAGCAAAAATGTAAATAAAAATGATTCATTTCAGATCTTTTTGGATCCAAACCCTTGATGTTTTGGTGTTATTCAATCATTCTAATTATCATATAACAGTGGAAATCTATGGGGTACAAATGAATGAGAATAAAAGATGCAAAAGCAGGAAAAAGTATATATTCTGTGCTTTGGAGTGTTTAATATTTCAACTTTGGAGAAAAAAAAAGACTCAACCTTAAGATTTTAATGAAAGTCTGTGATGATATTTGTTCAGCGATGGAACATCTTACTAAACCTATAAACTAACTTTTGGTGGATTTTGGCAATGACACAGCATCAGCTGAAAACAGACAAAGAAGAATAGTGCAAAGGTCACGGCTGTCACATAATTCCTGACACTTGATTGCATTGGTGTCAGACAGAGAAAATATCAGATAGTGTCTGACTGAAAGAAAAGATCCTTGACTTTCAAAGTAAGGCAAGTTTGTGTTATAAATCTGCACATCAGATGATTATCAAACCCATCAAACGGACGAGTCACGTTTCCTGTTGAAGGCGTCAGGATAAACGGATTAAATGGGAGCATGTAGAGTTTATTGATATGTTTAAAGCCAAGTATAAACTGCTGCTGCTGCTGAAGGTCTTGCATACAGGCTCAATAACCACTGATGCTGTTTGGATTTCTGGGATGGAGACGTTGGCTTCCTCCTGATGAATTAGCTTTGTGAAAATGCCTCTAGTTGCATATTTTAACAATTCTCCTTCATAACTGCTTCCGTCTCGACTCGTGTTCCATTCTTCTTTGTAATGCTCAAAGAAGAGAAGGCAGGAGGAAGCTGAGAGTTCAGGTCGGAGCAAATCCACCTCAGACAGAACATGTAAAGGCAGATTGTGATTGTGGTGCGAAATATGGAAGTGGGACGAATGTGGGCCCTGGGTGTGGAGGGAATGGGTGAGTCTGAGTGATAATCACATTCAGAGAGGAGCCCATGTTTCTGTGTAATGCAGCAGAAAAGACACTCAGCCACAGACCCGCTATTATTGGTCTGTGACCCGACTCTGTTTGCGTGTCCATCAAAGCCAGCGAAAACCGGAGCTTCTCCTGCTCTTGACTCTGATTTGGACAAACAAATGTTTCTAAAGATTTTATTGATTTAAAAACCAGCCGTGTTAAGTCTCCGCTGATTCCAGCTGTCTGCCTCTGCTGGAATCCTTTCTGGCATCTATTCCCAGATTTCATGCAGCACTAATTACGCTGACCTTAACCACTGTGCTTTATTTCTTTGTGTTCAAGCTTGTTTCTTTCATTTTCTCCAGCTTGTCAGCTGCAGGTTACCATCATATACCTGCTACCACATAGTGTGAATTTCAAGCATGTCATAAATATCAGCACCACTTGAGATTCAGCATCCTTCTCGCCTCCTGCAGCTCAGCCTGCATATAAACAAATATTTGAGATCGTCTTTGGCGTCGGTCTGCATCACAATGAATTAAATCTTCAAGACCGCCTGCTGCCCACTAACCAGCTTCCTCTTGGTATTTTGTTTTATCCAAAGTCGATTTTTGTCAATCCGATGGTTTCTGAGATATAGAAACTTTTCTTTTTTGACAATAAAGAGCTGGTCTCCTGGGATTTATCCAAACATGACTTCACTTAGTTGCTCTTTGTTACGAGACAAACTCCATCCAGTTACATCATCTTTATTGTGGTGCAGGTCATGCAGTTGTTCGTCACCTCTGCAATGGTTTAAATGAGAAATGTGTTGTTAGGCAACAACAGCTCACTTAAAAAAGAGATCTGGGGGCATTGTTACTGCCACGCTGTTTCTTCTCAGCGGGGGAGCTTCTGCGTTCCACACTCAGGCAGCCATGGCTTCTGTCAAACAGTGGAAACAGAATATTGTGTTTGAAGAACAGTTTCATTTCTGCTGGCCTCTGCCTCGTTCTGCCTCAGCATCTTCTGGGAACAGATGGGATCAGTTCTTGTTTACTCACGCTTTGTTTCTCCGGCGCAGGCAGAATCCACCGGATCCCACACTGACCCGAGAACATGAATGCAAGACTAGTGACTGAACGTCGCCTCAGAGCAATTAATATCATCGCCTGTATGTGTGTGTGTGTGTGTGTGTGTGTGTGTGTGTGTGTGTGTGTGTGTGTGTGTGTGTGTGTGTGTGTGTGTGTGAGAGAGCTCGTTGTTCTGATATGCACAGTTTGTGTTTTTACGACAGTTGTTTTTAAATCCAAACTCAAGTCAGGTTTGTAAGAGAAGCATAAATTATCAGAAAGCAGCATGCGTCCAGTCTCATCTACATGTGTGTGTAGTTTCCTGTGTTTTCTTAGTGTGTGTGTGTGTGTGTGTGTGTGTGTGTGTGTGTGTGTGTGTGTGTGTGTGTGTGTGTGTGTGTGTGTGTGTGTGTGTGTGTGTGTGTGTGTGTGTGTGTGTGACTGTATGCACGCTCTGAGTAATGGGCTTTGTGCATCCTCTCTTGCTGACGGCCAGGATGTATCCATGGCAACGCCAGGTCGATCCTGGCTGTGAGCGGAGCTGGTGAGAGGGACTTGAAAGGGAGCGTTAAACCCTTCTGTCTCATCTGCCCTGCGCTTTTCTCTGACCATGGCAAAACGCGCGGCCTTGTTGAAATCTCAGCCCCAGGGGTGCGAGCCGTGGCTGTGACCCATGACACTCACGCCGTAACGCAGCACTGCCACCTTTTGACCCGATACTAAAAAAGGGTCTAAAACTAGTTATTTCCCTCCTTTTTCTGTGTGAATATTTTATTTTTTCTGTAAACACGCTCAAACCTGATGAAACAAAAGAGCGTGGGAGGGTTTTATTCCTTCTTTTGAATTATAAGTAATCAAATATTGCATCTTTTTATACTACTTTTTACTTTTTTCAAGCTTAAATCTGAAAGATTTGGTCATTTTGCTTCTGCTTAAACTAATAATTTACAGTCTCATTGCTTTTATTTATAATTGTTTAACTTTTTCTTCGCTTTATCAGTTCTCCTCTTTAACAAATCCATCAAGTTAAGTTGTGTCACCCCATTTTTTAACCATTTTTTCCACCTTTTTTTTTATATTTACAATTTCCACTGATCATGTGTTCCACCCAGAGGAAAAGCTACAGGATTAGATGTGCTGCTGTCGCCCCCTTGTGGATTAAAGTGTGCATCCATCGGAACATGACTGAGTTGAATGTAACAGGACATATGCTTTTTCATTTTTTTTAACACACAGGTGACAGAATAATTAAACCAGGGTTAGGTGGGTCACTGATCTGCCGTGCACAATTAAATCTCCTCCCCAGGAGTTTCGTAATTGTCACAGTTGTGCAACTTGTAATAATGTGTGTGAATATTCATGCAGCTGCGCCTCTCCGAGGGCTTGGGGCTGCAGCCCAGGGAGCTCCGTGACCTTCTTGTTAGGTCGGGATGGAAGCCGAAGGCTATCTGCTGATCACTAATACATATTCAAGAACCGCTGGCCACCCGGGTGTAGAGCGAGAACCAAGATCAAGTTTGATTAAGGCCAAGCGTGTTTGTTCGGTCTTCACAGCTGCAGCTAAACACATATTGACCAAGTCTGCTGCCTTTCTCATCCTCTCACATATTCACCTCTTTTGCTTCAAGGCAAGCTACAGTTTAACAGATTAACAAAAAGCATCAGTCCAGATAACGTGTTTTGTATTGGTTTTACACATCTAATGCGGCTCCTTGAAGGTCTCCTATGCTATCATCAGGTTTTCATTGTAAAGACTCCCGTCATCCCTGAAGCGTCTAACGTTTCATTTTCTGGCCCCACCGTATTTCTGAAAATAATCTCAGCCTGTTTAATGGAGCTCAGATCAATACAGATGGATCAGACTCATGTATTACCTTTTCACATCCCAGCTAGCATCACCTCTGGGAATCTGCATTTATCTCCACATTCAATCATGAGAGGGTTTGTTTAAGATGTTTTCTTCTCCACTGCTTGTACATATTTGCTTTCACTTAATCTGCTTTCCACAGAATTGCTCTCAGCTCTGTCAGGGTTATGTAATTCCAGTCAGATTTGTTGGTCAAACGAGCCATTACATTCTAATAACGCAGAGCGGATGGAAGTCCTGATTAAATTTCTCGACCTTTCAACGTGGTGTCTGCTCCCTAATAGCTTATGTCTTGATTAGCCATCACACATGACCTCAGCACTCTCTTTTCCTCAACTTTCCTAAAGCTCGTTAAAAGAGAAGACCTCACAGTGACACCGCTGTTTTACTTTATCTACTCAGACGTTCCAGTGGTGGGATCGGTAAAACCAAAAGAATTTGATTTCACAGTCATGCTGAGATCGTTTCATTTAAGGAAAGAGGAGGACGGTCTGAACTGTAAAATCAGCATTTTGTTTAGTGCTTTCGCAGCTCTAAATTCCAGCTCCGGTGCTCTGTGTCAAGCCCTTTGTTTTTGTAAATAGTGAAACTCTGATCTGTAGCCGGGTCCTGTGGGAGGATCCTGTGTCCCGCACCCTCATGGCCTCACTTTCTTCCTCATTCTCCCCCCTCCTTTGGTTTCTTTCTTGCTCATTTCAAAATAACTTGAAGGGATGGATCTAACCGCATCTCACAAGGACAAACCAAGGCAGGGCATCACTGTGCATGTGATTGGTGCAAAGTCGGCCTTTCAGTCCAAGCTTCTTGTTTTTAGAGGACCTTTTGGCTTTGTTTAGGGGCAATTGGGTTTGATTGGCTCTATACATTCGTGTTTTTGTGTTCTGTATCTGACTTCAACCATTAGTAGAAGATCTTTAGTCCTTTTTTGACTTTTTCAGGACTCAGCCTTGTTTCTTTCTCATCTCGCCCATTTTACTACTCACCACCATGCCTCTCCGGATCATGTGCACCATCTCCTTCTCGACGGATGATGAACCCTGCAGAGGATACTGTAAAGATGGCTTTGATGACTATTACAAGCGTATGCAGAAGGACTACGGTGAAGGGGGCTCACAGGACTGCCTGGACAAATCCAGTCAGGTGGACAATGACAGCGAGGAGGAGGACATCGGGAGTGATGTGGATGACCTGGCCACTTTCTTTGGTGGTTGCTCGCTCCATGGAGCCAACCATGTGTTTGTAGAGGACAAGAAGTTTGGAGTTCGCCAAGGTTTGTGGGCGGTGGTCTTCAACCTCGCACTGTTCGCTTTTCTGTACCAGGTGTACGACAGGGTTAATTACTATTTCCAGTATGACCACATCACCATGCTGGATGAGAGGGTTGCCAACATGAAGATCTTTCCTGCCATCACCATATGCAATTACAACTTTATCCGGAAGTCTCAGATGAGCTACAGCGACCTGATTTTTACGAGCGCCCTGTTGGGCTTCGAGGAAGGCATGGCACCCGGGTTTCAGGTGGCGCCAGAGCCGGATCGTCCGCTGGGCTCACGCTTTAGCCTGGATGAGTTCTTCAGCCGAACCCGGCATCGCATGGAAGACATGCTGCTGGAGTGCAACTATGCTGGCAAGGAGTGTGGGCCTAATGACTTCAGAGAGGTAAATGACACCTAAAACCCCACAGAAAATGATGCATTTATTTAATTTGTGATTTATCAGTGTAAGGTAATTATTTTGCATTTGAGGGACTAGATCATTTTGACTGATGGTTATTAGGTCATGGAGTTAAACTCACACCCAAAACTGTAACCGTCATCCACTACTAATGTACTGTAGAAGGAAGCCGACAATCCAAACCTGTAAATAAAAATGTTTTTCTTTAAGTTGATGTTTCAGCATAAAACAAATTTTATTATAAATGTAAAAGAGCTAGCATAAACAGCATAACTGAAAGGGGCTGCTATTGAATTTAACTGGTAATCATGTTGCTCAGGAGGCTCAAAGCTGCTGCTTGCTCAAAGACCTTCCTACTTGATTTTTGTTTTTGTGTTTTTATGTGACTGCTGCCCTTTGCGTTTCTCTGACTGCACCCAAACGGCAGCACCTGAGTGAAATACTGAATTGCCAAGAAGCGTGGCAATATCCAGCTGTTGGTCTGTCGATCTCTCTGACCTTTCGTGGACAGATATGGGCAGACTGCTAATGTTTGTGCTTGGGTTGCTGTTGCATTGGTGGGAATGTGCACACACCCACTTGCTGTTTCAAAGAATTCACCAACAATATGATGCATTTTCTTGAAATAGTTCACTTTTAATCATATTTTTTTTAAGTTTTATATTAATAAATTTAGAAAAATTAGTATTTTTGATACTTACCTTTTATATAAATTTATTTTATTGGGTGAAGAAAATGCTTCTTGGAATGTAAAATAAACAAGATTTGTTCACAGTTTTTTAATGAAATCACTAAATCTTAGGAGTCATTGGATTCATAGACAGTGGTGCCCACACGGGGTGGTCGGGGGGAGACCATGGCCACCCCTAGAAATTTTTTGGCCACCCTATTACCGCCTTTAATGAAACAAATTCTTCTCCTTTAATCTAGGAATAATTTTAAAGCTAAAAATAATTTTGTACACACACCATAAAGAAAATTATAAATCCTAACCGTTTTTGTGGACAGTCTAAAAATTTTAAGCATCAACTGAAATAACTGTTAGGTGCATATTATTTGTAAATAATATGCACAGGTAAAACTCTCCCAGATTTACTGGAGCCGCTTACAAATCCACACACACACAGGATCACAACAACAGTGTGACATCATAATGTACCAGCTAACATCACAGTGTACCTCTTAGCCAATAGTGATGGTAGATTTAAATTCACATTAGGGCTGCACGATATTAGAAAAACCTGCAATATGCGATAACAGTGATTAATAGTGCGATGATGATATTACTTGCGATAAATAAAAACTTAAAGGGACTTTTCGGACTTTTGAATTTTTATGCTCGCGATTGCCCCCTCAGGCCAAAAGCGTAATGGCAGCTTCAAAAGTAGGCTCGTGCACGAGGCGCGCATGCTGTATGTGCTCACTCCTTACCGAAAATAACAGCTGAGACAGTCCCGTGTGTGTGTGTGTGTGTGTGTGTGTGTGTGTGTGTGTGTGTGTGTGTGTGTGTGTGTGTGTGTGTGTGTGTGTGTGTCTTTGTGTGTGTGTGTGTGTGTGTGGCCCGGAGGACAGAAGAACACAGCAAATTAATAAAAATAATGTGCCTCTGTCTCCGCAGCTGCACCTTCTCGTTGGCCGGCCGAACGTGCAGTGTCTGTGTGTGTGTGTGTGTGTGTGTGTGTGTGTGTGTGTGTGTGTGTGTGTGTGTGTGTGTGTGTGTGTGTGTGTGTGTGTGTGTGTGTGTGTGTGTGTGTGTGTGGCCCGGAGGACAGAGGACTGGATAACATGCAGCTAATTAATTAAATAATTTTGTTCTGTACGTGTCTCTTCAGCACAGCAGACAAAGGTTTATGATGGGTCAGTCCTCCTGCATGCTCAGATCATTCACTTACCTTGCTTGAAAAATTGTTCCAAAATGAAAGTTGAACCCACATCTTTTTTATCCGTGAATTCAATGCCTTTCGGCGAGTCTCAAATAAAAGTTTGGGCGTCTTATTACTGTAAAAAAATTATCATTAATGTAAAAAAGAAACTCCAAATAACAAACTATGTTCACACCCGGAAGCGAACCCAGGTCTCCTACAGGAGAGTCAGACATCTTACTAAGTGAGCTAAAGCACTGTTCTTTGTATCTGTAACATTTATATCCTTGGTGACAGCTGAAACAACGTCAATCCAAAGAACGGTTTGGAGCAAAAATGGCTATTTTGTTGCTAATTTGCAGGAAATATCTAGAAGAAAGTAGCTAAGGGTCCTCAGAAATGCAGCTAGGTTCATCACTAGGCATTAGGAACATTGACAAAGTTGCTGAGTTGACACTACCTCTCTCTCTGCTGCTAAAGCTACAGATAGCAAATGCTACGAGCGATGCCTGAGCATGAACACGCATGAAGCAGCCTGCTCGACCGGAGCATCTCTCTTTTTGATTTTACAGAAAAACTGGCAATCACAGTAAAAATGCCAGGGCTCATTCTACAGGACCAGGGCATTGCAGGAGAATGTATTAAGAAGAAAAGTATTATTTCTATACATGTTTTGACTGTCAAACTTCTATGTAGTCCCTTTAACTCAGGAACAAAAATAATCAAAAACAGAGAAAAATTTACAAAAAATCATAAAAATGAGAAAAGCAAAAGATGTGAGGAAAGGGAAAAAGAAAATGAACAAGAAAAGGCAATCAGTGGATCCCGGGAAAAGCAGAATCAGCAAAAAGAGCAGAACTAAGCTAACTTAGGTGTTTCCTAACCATCAGAATGAAGTGTCGTCCGCCTCTGGGGCGGACATCTAACCTATGAGAACCCACCTAATTGGCCAAATGGGCGAAGAGCTCGGTTTGATTTGTTAAAAAACATCATGCTTCCGTTTCATTGACAGAATGCATTATGTGTAGCAAACATTTGAGCTGACCATTCATTGCGATATTTATCTGTTCTTTGTGATATGCACATTGTGCATGCTGACATCTCGATAAGGATATATTCGCGATATATTGTGCAGCCCTAATTCACATGCAGCGCAGAGTTTTTACCTGAAGATGGTGCAACAACACTGACTGTTTTAGGCAGAACATTTCAATTTTAACCCTCTGGAGGCAGGCGTTGCAGATTGGCAACGTTAAAACCTACCTACCTGGTTACTCCACATACGTATTTCATGAAAATTTTTTAACTCAGAAGTACCCCTGATGGACTTAGTTGTTCGTCCTTTTATCAAAACTTATTTTGAGGCTGAGAGGGTTAACTAAAATGCACTAAATTGCCAAACTATTGACTACACTTGTCTACAGCACAATTAGACACTAGTTTATATAGTTTATTAGCAAAAAAAGTTGATTTGAGGGTGACTTGCTGTTTAAACTAAAAGGCTGTTAACTGTTTTCTCACACTTGAAAGCAAAAAACTGGCTTTACCTGGTAAAGATGAGCAGGTGAAGGTGGATGAATAGAAGGTAAAGATGTAATCTTACTTTTCCTTACTTTTAATCTTAATACATGAGGATGTGTCTCACAAAAGTTCTTATAATAGAAGTCTGAGTTTCTGTAGTGAAATGAGTCTGCTTCAACCAAATAAATAATCATGCAGAGCTGTTATTCCCTTAAAACTTTATTAATATTTGGCACGTTTTGCTGTCAAAAAAAGGGAAATTCTTTAACTTGACTTTTATTCAACCAAAGCTTTAAAAGGTTCCCACTGGGTGACGAATGGAAAAAAGAGAGGCGTTTAAGGTCAGTGTCCCTTCAGTGAGTCAGAGCCAGCTGTCATCTTGATAAAAAATGAGTAAAAGAGTTCAGTGACTTCACTGGAGTGGGACACTTTATTATTATGGGATGGGACCTCTGACATGATTTCTCTTAAAAGCAGGCTTTATGGCTGTGGTGCAGTTTAAGGCTCATTCTCATCATCAGATTTTCTCACCTTGAGTTTGACTTTGATCACTCAGGATGGTCCAACATATAAAAGAGTCTAAATTAAAAAATTATTAGAGAATGTTATTTGTATATTTTATATTTTACATTGTGAAGGTTTTTAATTTATCTGAATCTGATTCTATGATAAAAGGTAAACAAAGTGTCTGATATTTTTGTTTAACACACTCAGAAGATGTGTACAGCATGTTAAATGTTTTCCACAGTGTTTGAGTTTTGTTTACTGTTTTCTGATAGAAATGCGAGCAGCGATTAGTGGTCCGACCAACAGAAATGACAGGCAATCATTTCCCTGTCAGGTCTAATAGGATTAATTATAGCTATTGTCAGTTTAGCCTGAACACTTCTACATTACAGCCTCCTACAGATATAATCATTGATCGTTACTTCAGCTCCTCTGAGTGGTGTGTGTGTGTGCGTGTGTGGGTGTGTGTGTGTGTGCGTGCGTGCGTGCGTGCGTGTGTGTGTGTGTGTGTGTGTGTGTGTGTGTGTGTGTGTGTGTGTGTGTGTCTTGAAATTATTTATTTTATGCTGCCTTGGAAGCATTTAAATGCATTTCTGGTTAAAAGTGATGCTTTGAGAATATGATCTGGCTGTTTTTATTTGGTGAGTTCCTTTTTGTTGTTGTTGTTGTTGTTGGGGGGGGGGGGTGTCCTTGTGCTGTGTAACTACTGTGTGTCTCTAGTTGTATTTATACCACATTTGGGGCCTTTCTTAAAATCTGTAAATCGAATAGTCCCAACAAGTCCCATCACATTCAAAGCACATGCTGTAACCCTTGTGTTCCAAATTAATGGTAGATTTAAGTTGGTCATGGATACTAATTTGTTCTGATTTAATAAAAATAAGCACTTCTTAGGTTTTTTACCTGGATATTTGCAATGAATGTAAACAAGAAAGCCTGCACCCTGATCAAGAGAGATTTGTTGATTTATTTACTGGTCTTTTGCTTGTTTATTTGTTACTCTTCTTCTTTTGTTTTACAAGCACAAAGCTTGTTGTGGTAGTTTTCTCTTCTTTAGATCAGGGATGTCTAAATTTTTCAATACATGAACCAAAA